TGCACACTCTAACATTTTTCTCGTCAACCTCTAATTAATGAAACTTTTTAAAGACAAAGTTTTACTTTCTAACTGAAAATTATTTTATAATAATTTAATCTGAGTACTTGCATTGCTATTCAATCGAATTAAGCAAAATATATATATTGTAATAACAGTTATCGTTTATAAAGACTAAAAGAAGCAATAAAGTTTTAAGCATTTGTTGCTTCATTTTACTTCTACAAACAAAAAAAAATTGAAGGTTTTCAAAAGGAGATACAAAAATCGAACTAGATAAAATAATGTTGGCAATTCATAAACCATTTATTTTGTTACGATTTCAGTTTATTTTTGTTTCAAAATATCTTCCTTTCCAAACATTCAGTAAAGTGTGTATGAAACACCTGATAGTGACAGGTTGTTGTGTGAGATATGAAACTATGACGTCAGAAGAGATGGTCAAGAGCTTTCAAAAGCAGCGGTATATCCCGAGTAGATTTAAAAGGAAATAATCCTCCACGCTAGGGAGTTTTTTTTATTTATTTATCTATTTGAACTCGTATATTCTCCTTAAAGGTTATATATAGGATGGTTTCTCAGGTGCACGGATGTTTCTCACTATCGATTTCGCTAAATATCGTGGCTAATTCTTTTAAAGTATGTTTCTTAGCAAACAGATATTTACAAGAATCATACAACACTGTAAAAAATTTATACTAATAAATATAATAATTCAGTAAATTTCCTATAGAAAATTTCTGTTCTCTAACAGTACGAAAATTTTCTGTGAAATTAAATCGTAATCTATTCAAAGAGATATTTTATCTGTTAACTAATAAAACCTGTTACTATTGATGTGGATTGCGTCTGTTTGGTACTTATTTTTTCAGTTATGAATGTGGAAAACTTTGATATCAAAGTGGAAACACATAATTTGATACAATGAAATCATTGCCAACCGGTCTATATGGTGGTCTAGGAGTTGACGGTACTGGGCTTAAATACCACTTCAGGGTTTCTGAACTTAACAATGGCAAAAATGTAACCGAAATGGTTTTCAATTCCTTACAAATCACGCACAAAATGCAATAATTAAAAAAAAAATTAAAATTTTGAAATTCTTTTTAACTGTGCAAGCCATAGGGTATACAACTATCTCCATGCCAATTTTCTTCGCGTACCCTCAGGACAGTAACCTGACAGACCTAAAATATTTGATTTCCTACAGATATTTTCTGTTGCGTTTTTCTCCAGGAAATTTATGTCAACGTGATATTTCCTTTGCATGCGGCGGCTTTGCTCTCTAGCGACTTTGCTGACAGAAATTTTCCGTAATATAACTGAATATTTTTGCATTGTATCGTCTTAGTTTTTAGTTACAGATAAAACAATAAAAACATGTTTGAACGAGAATATTAAAATTTCAAATTGAAAGAAATAATATAATTAGTTGCGCTACTTCTTATTAGTTCTTTAATGAATTCTCTAAATTGAAGACTATAAATGTCTATGACGAAGATGTTTTTAAAATATACTTCAAACTTTTTGCTTCAAATAATTATGCATGTTGAGATCAATATTAAAATGCTTCTCATTTCCATTAGTTATTTTTAACTATCTCTTCATTAACTAAAGGTTCACAAAATTAATGTCACTTCTAATTTCAGTCTTAATTGTCACATCTGTTGAGACTAATTCTAATTTATTCTTTACACGATAAAAAAAAGTAAACTTCAAAAAAAAGTAAACTTCATGTTGTAAACTAATGTTAAAAAAAAGTAAACTTCAAAAACAGATCCTACTTATGAAACATATGCTAAGATATACAGCTTATTCGGGAAGGAACTGCAGAAGCAAATTTTTGCATTACTTAATTTGCCAATTTTTCCAGTCAATTTTTAATGATTTTTCAATATTATTATCTATTATTTGTTCTAGAAAAGATTTTAATTCCCATCCTTATTCTTCTGAGACAAAAAAGTTTCGTAATTATTATGATATTGGCATTTCATGGATTATCTAATACTAAATATATAAATTGTACAATATAATAAGGAAATAATTTGAAATAAGAGAGTACCATTTTATTTAGAGGTGCAAAGAAAATGATTTTGAAAGTGCTTTTTGAAGAATAATTAAAGAAGAGATTGCGCTTTATTGTGCTTTTATGTGCTCTTCACCTCTTCACTCATTCAGTTTAAGATTCATCAAATCTATTAATATTCAATTCAATAATAAATTAATTAAACTGAAATGTAAATATGCATAACTTTGTTTCATGATTTCATAAGAAAACAAATCATATAACTTCTGTAATCATAAAACTAAGTAAAAATCATCGAACTGAGAATTTATTAAAATCAAGAAGAAATGGCTTAAATATTTTGGAAGAAAACATAAAATATCGAAATAAAATACTTTAGGTCGAAATACAATCACCTCAGTTTTAAAATCTGTTATTGTTATTTATATATCTTTTCAAAATAAAAATGATCTATTTTATTATAAAATGGGTAATATTTTCTACATGAAGATCGAAAAAGCACGAAACAGTGAAATACAAATTAAAGAAAATAATAATGACGCTTGTTGAAATGCAATATTGAGAAAGTCTGCAGCAAACTTAGCAAGTTTGTAGAAAATTTATATTAACATCAGGTTCATCATATCAACTTGAAAGTTAATTTGTTGCTCCTTGTATGGTTTAATAAAATTACTTGTAGGGGTTGAAAGAACTTATGGATTAGGAAATACAATATTATGGATTAGGGTAGCAATTTTATTTTTCAAATATGAAGCTACCTTTCTTATAGTTCGTTTGCAATAAATTAGTAAAAAAAAATGCTAAGTCACTCATTTCTTTAAGAAACTTTTTTGAGCAAATAAATTAAAATCATTGACCATAAAATCAAGGCAAAATTATTTAAACTTATTTTTTCTTCTTCTTTAAACATTAAAATTTAAGCAAAGAGTCAAAGGAAATTCAATTTGTCACTTCTTCTAAAGATACTGTCTAGCGTGAAACAATGTAATATTTCTTATTGAAAGAATATTCGTAGACAGTATTAGGTTTTTGAAAGCACAGAAAGCGTAAAAATATTATTTCTTAGTTCTTTATTTCAAATGGCTGCTAAGTCATTTAAAAACAAAATTTTTGATTTAACCAAAGATTAATGAATTCAGTTTTCCACGTCAGCTGTAAAAAAAAAGGTAAAAAGAATACTTCTTGTTCTTAAAAGAATTATTCGATTTTATTCTTTCCCTTTTAGTCATCTATTTCATTGAAAATACTCCCGTCAATGCAAAAAGAGAACTCAGTCAGCAGTATAAAAACAAAATAAAAAAAATGAAAGGAGAATTACATGAAGCCTGAAATGATCGAATTATTTTAAGAGACTCAACGGTTGCTTCGTTAAAGAGTAATATCTAATTATCTTCTTTGGGGTATTTTCATCAATGAAAGACTATAGGTAAACCGCTTTTTGCACTCAGGACTTTAAGTGAAAGGTTGTGGAGTTTGCAAAATGTCATTCTTCTCGATCAACTATGGGGATTTGTGTAAAAATAACGTATAGGTTATTCATCGGTCATATTAACAGCCTTTTGCTTAATTAAGTAAAATTCCTTAAAGTACGAAATTTTTCAAAATGCGATTATAATTTCATTATGCGCTTTTCTGTACAGTAATAAATGTTTCTGTTTAATAAAAAATAGCAGCGAGATATTTTTTCAATGCCACAGCATTAAAGTATTTGCAAAGTTAATATCCTCTTTTGAAAACATAACTGAAAGCTTTTAATTATGGTTCGTAAAAATATTTTTACATTTCGGGGAGCAATAAAAATACTTCAGGAACTTTCAGAAGTTCTTGATCGTTGAAAATTTGCATGCGTGTTGTTATATTTTTAAGCATACCATTAATTTTAACTACTTCAAGTTTTATTAAGTTTCTGTTCTCTCTGATTTCTGTCTGTTGTGATAGAAATGCGTCAATGAGATCTGTTTTAAATGGTACTTTATTTTTTCGTTTATTCATTCCAATTTACCCCTAAGCTGGTTAAGGTAAAATTGGGTTAATGGAAAGTATTTGAGAAGATAATTTAATTAAGGAGGAAAAAAAAAGGACCACACTGAATAACTTTTGATCTAACTATCAGATCTTCACTTTTTGGGACTCAACTTCGAGGGGGTAACCTCAAATATTCTAATTAATAAGAGCTAACGGTATTTTTAAGGCACGAAATCAGGCGCAAAAACGTACTTTCTTTGAATAAACACACCTTTTTTTTCGACGGATTCGGATTCTTGATCCCCAAAATATAAGAAGTAGCAGCAATCTGAGAAATATGGTCTCCATTGTTTGGTTAGGAGAGCGATCTAAAGTTTGGAGCCTTTAAAGTTAATATTACTTTTTGCTTATTTCGCCATATTTCAGGAACTTTTTAAGTGAATTGAAAAATTTTGCAAACAATTATAATTCAATCCACATAAAAAGTTCTAGAGATATGGTGAAATACGAAAAATCAAAATTAAAATTAAGGGGTCCAAAATTTGTATCACTCTCCTGACTAAACTATGGAGACCATATTTCCCAGATTGCACCAATTCCCTATATTTTGGGGGTCAGAAATCTGAATCCGTTGATAACAGTTATGCTTATTCAGAGAAAGTAAGTTCTTGTGCCTGATTTCACGGCTTCAAATATCTTCTTACTAATTAATTAGCATACTTAAGGTCACCCTTTCTAACCATTAAGATTGAATCCTAAAACGTAATTTGCAAAAAATAAAATATTATGTCAATATTCTTTTTTGTTTACCTTCCGTATGTATAACCAATAATGTAAGCTTTCCCCTGGCAGTTTTATTTAAATGGTTAGAAAGTTATGGTTAATAGATAAATGGTTAATAGATAAATTATTAATTAATTATTTAGAGTTATACTTTCATTTTTCATTGCTCTTGACTTGCATTGTAGTTTTATTGGTTTCTACAAAATAAGTTTTTGTTTTCTTATAGGGCTCTAAGAGACGTGATCGAATTGAGTTGAATATATACAACTTTGAAACACAAGAGCCAACTGCCGATGTGTTTGATATTACAAACTGCTACGATGAAAACCTTTCCAAAGCATACGTTATAACTTTCCCAGGTAAATATGTTCCGTCAGATATTTTAGTAATGTAAATTGAGAAAAAAAGCATGGTCAAACATACCTCATGTAACGTCAGTATGTTTCGTTATATGTTAAAATTTTGTGTTTAGGGCTCAATGGAAACACCAAAGTTCTCTTTAATTTTTACCGAAGTGCTTTAGTAATGATTTTGGTAAAATTAACAATAGAATATGGTTTTATAATATGTGATAAAACTTGAGGTAAAATGTGATAATTTTGTCATGATACATTAGAGCAAGGTGTAAAAACCATTTATTCGGTTAAATTTACTTTTCAGTTTTGTATTTTTTACGAAATATATGTTAATAAAAATTGTATAAAATTTTGAAAACCGGAATGTTAAACCGGTACCTTATGAAAGAAACAATTACCAAATGAATGGCTTAGATGTATTTTGGTTTTACTAACCAGAATTAAGTTCTTTTACCATAAATGTCAATACCATACAAAACGTTAATTTTTCTCAAATTTTGTTTCTCTGTGTACTATTAAGCAGGAAGAATGCAAAAAATTACGTAGTGGCATCGGGCAAAATTAGGGCCTGAATCTCAACCGTATTAACCTATATGCCTGGATTAGGAATGTACTTTTATTATACAGAAACATATAAAGAATACGTTGCATATGTACAGTTGAGAAAATTAAGTTACAGAAATGCAGTTAGCAAGTATCAAAACATAAAACAATAGGTTATAAATTTAATTGTACTGTATTAATTATACATTCATTATTTTTTTACGGAACAGGTTTGTTTCTCTATGTGCAAAATGCTTGGATTTAGCCTACATGACATAAAATTATTCAAGACTTTCCATAATTTAGTGCGCATGAGTAGAACAATAATTTCTAGACATTAAAATACCAGAGTTAACAAGGTGAACTTATGTTAGTTTCTCACGAGTAATAATATCCATGTTTTTACAAAACAATCGAATACTATTGTTTGGCTTATTATGAAAAAATCACTAAGAATTGCTCCCAAGCAAATAGGTTAATATGTAAGTTTCAGATTTCTAGCTCCCAACAATATTTAAAAAAGTAATGAAATGAAAACTGATGTAAATTATTTAATTTTGCCAGTACTCAAAACATAACCGCATAGATTATATCAAAACATAACTGCATGGACATAACCGCATATTTATTTATTTACAGCCAATAATGCTTTAAGAGGGTCTGAAAAAATTTTGAAGTTAGCTGCCCACTTAGCTTTGAAGGAAGCCACTGGTCTCAGTAAACAAAGAATATTTGTCTCAGAGGTATAACAACAAATGTTATTTTAGCTCATTTAATAAGACTAATTAGTTTATCTCTGCTTTGTTGAACGCATTATTTAAATAAATGAATCTGCGTAATATACGTAAGCATGGGCATATATAAACTTATGAAAACACATATTATCCCATGTTAGATGGTTTGTTAAATACAAGAAACATAATATATAAATACTTAAGAAAGTTTAAATAAATCTGTGTGAGAAAACATTGCCTAAAATATAAGTTAATATTAGCTTCTTTTTTTAACTGTTTTGATTAATGCATTTATTATCTTAGCTTTAGTGATCAAAACAATTTTAAATTTTACATCTTGATCATTTATGTCTATATATTTTATATTTTGATCATATATCTCTCTATATATTTTATATCTGAATACTTTCAACTTGTTTTCAACGATAGAACAATATGACTTATAAAATATAAAAAATAAAACTTCGTAAAATGGTCAATGTCTGCATTTTTGAAGTATTATTTAAATTTTTTACTGAATCTTGAAACATTGCTTTGGATTTCGCTATAAGAAAAACAAACAAGTTCAACTTTAAAGATTTAAAACTTTTTTTAATATGTAACAGAAAATAAAATTTAAAACCATATTAATATTTGATATAAATATCCATATTTTAAAGATTAAAAACATTAAAAATATGAATATTTTTATACAAAATAAATGATTAGTTTGTTTTTGAAAATAAAATTTTCAGCTACACCAAAAATGTTTAAAAAAATTTCAGAAATCATTTTATAATTATTTTATTAACTTATTAAATTACGCAAAATTACAAATATTTCAAAAGAAAGCATGCAATTTTTCAAACGTTTCAAGAATGTGTCTCCACCCCCTTCCCTATAAATATGTCACGGCAAATAATCAGCCTCATTAATTAATTAGAGAATATATCTCAAAATATGTAAAAATTTTCTGAAATTTTTCATCATAATATTTTTTCCCAATTGATTGTAAATAATGATTGATGATTTGCAATCTTGCATATTTTTTAAATATCCGTAAGGAATATTATATTCATATTTTATTTAAATATTTCTAATAATAATGCTTTGTATTTACTACTGATATTAAACTGATACAGTTAAAAGTTGATTTCGGAATGAAATTTTACTTTTTCATTAGCTGAAAGTGTAAAGTAAACAAAGTTTCTTTTTTTTTGCAAATTCTTATTCATAACTAACTTTTTTGCACGAAATTATATAAGGGTCATATTTTAGCATTTCGTTATTTGAAATTTTGTACAATAATTATTTATTTTTGTCCATCATGCTAGTAAGTAAAAAAGTATTTTTCACTACTCTTTCATAATGTTTTACTGTTCCTAAAATATTTGTCTATTTGTAGACTGTGTTTAACAAACAGTTTTTGTTTGTTGAATTCAAACTCTTAGAAGCTCCAACTTCATTGAAACCAAATGTCACAAAGAAGGAAATGTCTCTTGCTGATGCAGCTGCCAAATTAAAAAAGTCTGTCCAGGATGGATCATTTAAGCTATCTGTTTCGGCTGATTCTGGAGTAAGTATTCTTTGTTACATCAAACAATGAAACAAACAATACATGGATATGAAACTCCATGCATAATAAAAACACCAATATCTGTATATCCTGTACTTGATCTTTTCGAATCCTACCACTTAACAGCTGTGGCCAGAACTTTTATTTAAAAGGAAAGACTGCAATACAGTTACATTATGATTCTACGTACAATATAGTATGTGAGAGAAATAATATAGCATTTATGGAAAATGCATGGTATAAGTGCATAGAAATACCGTTTAAAAATCATCATGAAGATATAGATGCATTAAAGTAGATACATAAAAATGATTGATTTGATATTATGATTGACATTAAGCTCTGATCTTATACATGCCAGTAACTTATTTATATGAAATGTTAAAATAATGTTTCGCTGATAGAATTCGTAATTTCATTATAAAATACGTGTTCTTAAGTTTGATACTTACATAATTAAAATTTCAATGACCATAATTCAAAAGTGTTGTTAGCTTTTGTTTAACTTTAAGAATTGAAGAACTGAAGGGGAATGCAGTAAAATTGTATGACAGTGTATGACATTACTTTATGAATAAAGACATAAAAATATATTTAAAATCAATACCTAAAAAGATATCAATACATTGAGTGATTACATACAACAAGAATATATGAAAATATAGTAGTGTAGATTCAATATAATCATTGACTGGATAATTTGATAGAAAAATTCTAAAAAATCCATCAAAATGTCATAAAATTTGTCTTGTTTCTGGCCATATAGTGGCACAATAGAGCTAAATAATTTTAACGAAATGATTTGGTAATGTTTATGATTTTAAAATTAAGAATAAAATACGATTTTGCAGTATGTAATAAAAATTTTTAAATGTGGTAAAATTTGGTAATTGTATCATGAAGTCTTAGAGCATGTCATAAAAACTATTTTTTCGGTAAAATTTACTTTTCAATTTTATATTATTTATTAAATGTGTGGTAATAGGAACTATAATTTTGAAAACCCGAATTTCTGGTGAACCGTCATGCGAATAGAAAAATTTCCAAATGAATGGTTTAAATACCATAAATTTTGATTTTATTAACAAGAATAATGTTTTTTTTAATCAGAAATGTCATTACCGTTCAATAGGGTAGTTTTTTTCCATGTACAGTACGCAAGAAAGAAAAAGTAAGAACAATTCTGATCTAATAGTCAGACTTCACGTTCTAGGATTCAATGTCAATTGTTCGAAGTTGTTCAATATCAATGTGGAATAAGCATATCTTTTTTTAGTGGATTCAGATTTCTAACCCCCAGAATATGGGGGTATCCGCAATATGGGAAATAAGGTCTCAATAGTTTGGTCGGGAAAGCTCTCTTGAGTTTAGACCCCTTAATGCTAATTTTACTTTTTGTGCATTTCGTTATATCTCTAAAACTTCTTAAACTAATTGAAAAAGTTTTTGCTCGCAATTATAAAATTCGTTTGTTCAACCATTTTGAAATAAAATTATGAAAAATAACAAATATTTACTAAAAATAGTTTTTTTTATGGAATTACTTTTGGATAAACGAAATTTATAATGGCGTGTAAAAATTTTTCGATTCTCTTAAATTGCTCTCGATATATAGGAAAATATGAAAAAGCAAAATTAACATTATGGGTTTCACACTTTGGAGTTCTCTCATTTCCAAACTATGGAGTCCATGTTTCCCAGATTGCTGCTATCATCTATATTTTGAGAATCAAAAATCCGAATCAAACGAAAACAATGTAAGTTTCTTTAAAAAAAAGTACGTTTTTGTGTCTGATTTCGTAACTTAAAATATCGTCTGCATTTATCAATTAGCATATCTGACGTCATCCCCTCGACGTTAAGATTGAGTCCTAAAACGTGAAGATCCGATCTTTAGATCAAAAGTAATTCAGGGTGGTCCGTTTTTTTGGGCACTGTACATTGGAAGCAAATTATATTGAAGTTTTTAGGTTGATGTATAGGGGTTTCCTCCATTTGAGAAATTGGTTGGAACTTTAGAATTCCACATGAAACTTTTCAAAATGGATTTAAACAAATGTGGTTTTGCACATTATCTTTCAAAATATTTAATAATCGATAACCTCTCAATAACATGCTGTATTTTAAGCAATTATATTTAAAATTCTAACATCACATGCATTTTTTTTCGAGACTGACTGGAACTATTTATAGAACAATTGACATCATAATAGTTTTTATTAAATAGATTTATTGTCAATCGCAATTTTAATTTCAAATTGAAAAAAAGGATTTTAATTATCCTGATAAAAATCCTGAAACTACCAATCTGTATTAATATTATTATCTTTAATCAGGTTTAAAAATTTGGTGGTTTTGAGATTCTAGTGAAATTTTAAGGTTAAAACTACCTATCTTCTCATGAGTTTTTGTTCAGTTGAATTACAAGCTTAAGGCGATACTTAAAATGTTTTTTAAAACAATTAATTTCAGATAGTATACAGTGTTTTATAAATAATATTTAAAACGATTGAAATAACAGAATGCATGTTTAAAATCTTTATTACGAATATTTATTTCCTACATTAACTATTATTTTTATTGATTTTCAGCTTATTACACTCATACCTCAAAAAGATGGCTTTAATGAATTCTCTGGAGATCGCAAAGTACAAGATACTAGTTCATTTAGTCAGGGTAAGTTGTTATAATTTTTATTAATGTTTTTTTATAACTGAATATAAGCTAATATTAGTGAAAAATAATGCTTCGCAGAGTTTTTAAAAAAATTTGTATTTCTTTTTTTGCTTTCTTGAAAACTAATTATTGGAGTATATAAAGTGAAAAGACCTAAGAAATTTATGATCCAGTGATCTGATTTTCACGTGATAATATCTTAATAGTTTGAGAAGCAGACGTTAAAAACATTAATTATTGTAATGTTCTCGATGTTTGAAATTATTGCATCTGACTTTTTTAATTCTATAATGATAAATTTTGAAAGTTGAAAAATAAACATTTTACTATGCTTATAATGATTCAATTGTTAGGGATTCAATCGAAAATTTGAAAAGGAAAATAGTAAAATAGTTTGCAAGAAAGTACGCCAAAAAAGTTTGGTGTGTTTACTTCTAATATATGATTTAAGTAATAGGTTTTAAAAAAACTGCAAGAAAGTTTAGTAAGTTGCATTTAAATAATTTTTAGAATTCTATCTGTTCTTCCCAAATTTTTTTTTATAAAACAGAGCAATTATTTTAGAAGGTTACTTCTTAAATTTTGTAAATACTTGTAAATATTTAAGTTCATATGATGAGAAGAGAGAAATAAGGATCGTTGGTGAAACCCAAAACATGGGGAATGTTGCTTCACTAAAAACCTGACCTCCAAAATAATTAGTAGAAACATTATTCTAGCTATTTTATAGAGTTTACAGTTATTGCTCTTACTCGTAATACTTGAAATATTTAATATACAACCAATGCTCTACAGATAATACTTAGAGTTATGCTCTTAATAATAATTTCTTAAACTTATTCGAGTATTTTTAGAAGAAGAACAGCTTTTCAAATATTATTTTTTAAGAATTCAAGGTACACAAATCTCAAATAAGGAATAACAAAATTTCTGGAAATAAAAGCTATAAAATATTTCATAGAAATTACTTTAAAGAATATTTTAAATTCATCTTGTCTATGAATATGCAGTTTATTAACTTTGTTTACAAGAAATACAATAAACTAGACTTACTCATATTAAATTATAAGCTTTTTCGAAAATATTCATTTTTACCTTATGTTAAGGCGAAACGAAATTTTAAAGATAACTGTGCAAAAAAAAACACATTTGAAATCGAATATTTTGAACCAACAATCCTAAAAAATGCATAAGAAATTTGTTGTGTATTTAGTTTTTTTTATGTAAATTTTAGCAAATATTACATTGTTTTAAGAAATTATGACAGAGAACAAAATTTTTACTGCCGTGAGATCTTGAATTTGCGTCTGTATGTTTTCTAATGTTTCAATGTTCTATATTGCTAATTAAATTTGTGTATTATTGCAGTGGTCATAACAATGTTTTTTGTATATCACAAATGCTGATAAATTAATAGTCAATGAAGAACATGTAATTCTCATTTTTCTAGAAACCAAATTCAGTTATTCAGATTTTTATTGTGCAGCTATTGTTTGATATGCCCCATGATGGCTTTAATTTGCTATAAATTATTTTAAGCTATTACGTTATTTTTCGTTATGCAACAACAAGTTAGTTAGTTTAAGTGCCAAAAATCTTTTTTCAATAAAATTCGTTTAGTAATTGTCAGTAGTAAGAATGCTTACAGTTTATATTTTTGCAATTAAACACTTATTTCATCGGCAGCATTTAAAATGCATTTCCTAAGAAAATAATGCAATTACTGAATTGGATAACATTTATAATTTAATATTGTTCCTGAGTACATTTTTGTATCGTGGTCCAACGAACACTAAGGTACTTCAGCCACGTAATAGGTTGGTTCATTCTTCAAGGTTCAGCTTAATAAAATTAATATAAAAGAAGTACCAACAGAAATTTTTAAAAATATGATGAGTGATGAAAAGTAGGCAGTTTTTTTTGTTGAGAATATGTATCGAAAGAATAGAAATATATCGAAATATTTAAAAACTATACGGATAATTTTTTATCGAGATAAGTGGACCAACTAAACCTAGTTCTCCCTATTATTAAATCAAATTTCTAATAAAGAGAAATTTCGATAATTAAAAAAAATGCATGCTGATAATTGATTGAATTTTACAGAAGATCAATATATATATATATATATATATATATATATATGTAAATTGTCAAATTAAATATATAATGTAAATATATAATGTTAATTGTCTATTTTCGCATCAAAAATTTGATTCTTAAAGTTTATAATTCCTCTCTCCATAATAATTTTATTGAAAGAACGATTTTTAAAAAATTGTAGTATGGATTTTTAGAAGAGAATTGCTTTGATACAAATTTCGTTAATGTGAAAAATTTGGAAAAGTCAAATAAAAATGTAGTTCAAGGAAAAAAAAATTAGGATAAGTAGATATCGCTCATGGGTTGCAATAGTGGCACAACTAAAAAAACACGAGTTTAAGACTAAGAACAGGTGTAAATATGAAAATACACATTCCTTCAGCAGCAATACTAGCAAAACTCATAATTCAACTTGAAGGTAATCTTCGTTTAGGCAAACTAAAGCATTTCTTATGCAGTTTCCTTAGCAATGAAAACTTTAAACACACTTATCCTCAAAACATTATTTTTTGAGTTCTGCCGCTATTGCAGCCCATGAGCGATATATTGAAAGAAAATAGTAGTGAGTTTAATGATAAGCTCATTAGTCTTTTACATGGTTATCTATATTAATTTACCTAGTATAAGATTGGTGTATGAGTATTAATTTACGTAGTAAGAATGATGATGGTGATTTCTGGACGCCCTAGAAATCCTCGCGTATGGGTGATTGAAAGTTCTTGCTCATTGATATTTTAGCATAATCAAAAATATCTAATTAAGATACAATGCTGTTGAATAACTTGTAGAAAATATCTCTCAGCATCCCAATTGTTATAAAGTTCCAAAATGGTTTTAATCTGCAAAGCTCCAGTAACATTATAAACACTATAGCTATTTTCTGATTAAGCTAGTATTTAGAAATTCAACTTAAACTATCAAGTAAAAGTTTGGAAACGTAGAATAGTTCAACAGCATGCTTAGTGAAAATTTTTAATCCACGAATTCATGCAGTTTTACGGTACTCAGAATCAATTTAAACTTCCCAGAACTTGTCCAGAAAGGGTTTGATCAGCGTGCTAATTTTAATACTTATTCCTTGCGTTAAAGCTTTAGGCATTATAAAATTTTTTATCTTCGAAATAAATATTCTAATAAATTTGTACATTTTTCAGGAAGCGTCGTTGGCTTGACAATTGGCATGCTGCTCTTAGGTTTTGTTCTGGGAGGCGTAGCATTAAATTTGATTGTGAGCCGAAAGTTTGGTGTTTCGTTGTTCAAACGCTAAAATTCTGGAAGGAATAACTTCAATTATCTTTTGAATGAAAACACGATGTAATGTTATCTCCATATTATAAGAGACTCTAAGAAATATATTGTAAATATGTTTATAATTTATTTTCGTGTGAAAATGTCTTTATGTATCATTGAAACAAATAAAGGATTTTGAATATTTCTGATAACATAACGTCTAATCTACTTCCGGTTTATTACACAAAGCTCCAATAGCATGAGCGGTACTATATCTGCCATAGCGACTATGTGATCAAGCTGGTATTAGGGAACTTATCTTAAAATATCTCGCAGATATATGAAAAAGTAAAATAATTCATCAACACGCACAATGAAAAATTTGCATTCTTTAAATGAAACAGTTTTATGGTACTCAGAATCTGCTCAAACATGTTAAAGAGGTATGAATTAAATACAATACTTATATTATGTAAGAGCGTTAGGCATTAGACATTTTCTGTTTTCGAATTAAATATTCTAATAAAATTGTGCATTTTCTAGGAAGCGTCATCGGCTTGACTATTGGTATGCTGCTCTTGGGATTTGTTCTGGGAGGTGTAGCATTAAATTTGGTTGTGAGCCGAAAGTTTGGTGTTTCGTTGTTCCAAAGTAAAAATTCTGGAATGAATAACTTCAATAATCCTTTGAATGAAAGCTCGATGTAATGATTTTCCGTATTATGAGAGACTTTAAAAATATACAATTGTAAATATGTTTATAATTTTTTCGTATGGAAACCTTTTTATGTATCATTGAAGGAATAAAGGATTTGAAAATTTTTAAAAAACATAACGTTTTTTTTCCAAATTGCTTAAAAGAGAGCGTTTACGCATAGAAAAAAATATTTACAGTATTTTTTAAAATGTTTTTTTTTTATCAGATTAGAACAATTTTTGAAGCTAATTAAATCGCAAAAAATATCTTTAAAAAATATATTATCAAAACTATATATATACTTACTTAGGAAGTATCTTAATAGAAACTCGATTAAAAAACGTAAACTGCAGATAGCATAGTTTGGAGATTTCAAGTGTGTAATGTTCTTTTTTTCATTTTTACTTAATGACTTAACTATTGACAATCATGACTAATCAAGAATATATGTGATTATTATTTTTTATGTTATTCTGTAAGCGTTTTAAAATTATTTGACAAAAAATATTGTGGATGCCGTTTGCTTCCTGAACATTATAAGTTTACGAACGAACACGAATTTGCATTTCAGTGATTAGTATGAGAGAACTATAGCATCGTTAAAATTTAACCACAGGAATTTTGAAAAAAATTGATTTTAGTCTCCAATTTTAAACTTCGAGGTTGTTTGGTTTTTATTTCAAGTATTTTTGCTCCTGGTGATTTTTTTAAACAAGAAAATTCTGCTTAAAAATAAGGAAAGTATTGTTTACAAAATAAAAATTAAAAAATTGAAAGTTTCAAAAGATAGACCCTTAATTATAAAGTTTTGAAATGAGCAAGCACGAAGTAGAAACATTCACCACAAAATACCAATTACAGAAATAGCTTCAGTTACTAGGATGAGTCAGAAAATTTAGTCCAACCTTAAACAACAATATCGGTACCTTGAAACATGATACTGAGGGAATTTCTTGCTGATCTAATATAGTGATTAATTGAACTATGCCACAGTATTATAGTATAGTAGGGTTTAACTTGAACGGAATGCTTCAACATAGGCTGATGGTTAAACTTAAACTGACCAGCGCCCTCAAGAAATTAAAAAAACTAGTAGCAAAATTTCTATACAAATATTGGAAAACTTACTGCTTTTCCTCCAAATAAGACTGGTTCTAAAGATATTCCTCAATGGGATTCTCCAACAGAAATAGTTTTTTTAGAAAAGGAAAGAGGTGAGTTATCGAATTTTTTTTAGAAATTTTGCTGCCAATATTTTTTAGTTTCTTGAGGACGCTGGTCATTTTAGTTCAACCTGAAACCATAGTAAGATTGAAATCAATATACAGGAAATTATGTAAACATAGAACATGAGGCTCTAAAATTTCTAAAAGGCAATGAAATTTAATCTATGAAAGCTTAAAAATAGGCCAGCAATTTTTATTACATAATAGGAAAAAAACTCTTCTGTTAAAATTTGATCCACTGTAAAAAATTCCAAACGGGATTTTTTACAGTGTTTACGGATGATGCACCTAAAGTGCGGCACTTTAGGTGCATCATCCGTAAACTCCATTTCTACTGCAAAATATAATGCCGTAATTTTTACAGTAATATTTGTCTGATTTAAGTGATTCAGTGATTTTATGGTAATTATTACCGTCAACCTTTATTACCAATTATTTATCAATTATTACCTTTGTGCAATGAGGGGTGACTTTGTGCAAACTGTCATTTTTACAATTTTTGCGTCGTGCCATCTAGGGGTATATTTTTTAAGCTCGGCATCAACTGATTTGAGTGGTCAACATAACGAACTAATGGTTTACCAAGAACTGGCAATGTAAACATCAACGTTCTTGGAAAATTGCGAGCTCAAATTACAAACAGTTTCAAATTTTTTAACGTCTCAAAATCGGAGGCTGGAAAGTCTGCTCGGTTGAATAAGTTCCAGTTATCCAGGCCAGGAAAGTAGATTATACTTTAAAAGCCTTATCAATTGAGATAACAAATCGTGCATAATTTTTTGCTTTTAATTATTATATTGCTAGTTATTTAATAATTAACAGTTTGCACAAAGTCACCCCTTGTTGCACAAAGTCACCCCATCTGACGGTACTTTAAAAATTGCGGTATAATAGATTTTTTGTTCCGTACCGCACTTGGTGTGCCAGGGAGTGAAAAGCACCAGCACCTAAAGTGCCGGTGATTTTTACCGTAATTTAATCTGGAGCTTTTAATAGCAGAGTTAAAATAATTGTAAATATAAGTATAATGTAAGTATATAAGAAAATATACTATAACTTTTTAAAATCTTAAATCATTATTTCTATAAACTGTACAGCCTTGTTTGTGTTTCTGCTTTTTAATGCTAGAATGAAGCTTGCATATTAACATTTAAAAAAACAAGCTAAATTTTCAAATTTGAAGATTTAAAATTTCTATTACGAAGTTGGACACGGATTTGTCTCCAGAGATTTTACGGATACATGAAATTGGAAGCCTAAAAACATACACTATGCATTTTTCTACAACTTTAGTTTTTTAAAAAGTGGAACAGAGTCTTATAGATGCAATAGAAGTGATCGATTTCAAAGAGGAAGTATCTTATTTCTAAGAACATTTCTCGAGATGTTCGAGAGTTGGGATTTTTGGAGTGGGATTTAGCAGGCGGTCGTAAGTGCAAGTGGTTTGTTTTGAGTAGGGATGTGACTGGAATGGAGCTATGCCTGAATGGCTTTGTTCTGTCAATCTCTTTCAGCTTTCTTTTCTAAATCCAGATAAGAAAGAAAAAAAGATATAAAGGATTCCTGGATTCATTACCGCTTTCAAAGGTAGGATCACGTGATAAACTCTGAGTAACAAAATTCGGTTAAACTAACATTTAAAAAATCAGATGTTTGTATACGATTTCAGCATATTTTATTCGATTTTCCTCAAACTGTTTAAGACATGGCCCTTTACCCATAACCTGATGAGAAAACAATGTAATTTATATCTGCAATCAGATGTCTAAATTATTTTGTTTCATTAACCTTCCAACACAGGAATTTTTATTAAACGTTTTCTTAATATTTTTTCTATAATATTCTTTAGTATTAATTTAGGTCAAAAAAGTTTAAAAATATTATATTTAGCATTTTAATAATTTAAAGTTATTAAATACAGCATGGAACAGCTGTGTTTTTTATGCGTTTAAGGTGAAATCTTCCAAACTCAGCTTACTTCATAATAATAATTTTTCAAATTGACTCTTATTTGCAGTTATTTAGATCTAAGAGCAACGGTTATTCATCATTGAAATTTCATAAATTTTAAAAAATCAATTATTGATAAAGTTTTGAATTCAAAAGAAAAAAAAATCAAACTACTTTTTTTGGATTTCATAATTTAGTGCAAATATAATATCAATAACGAAACAGATTTTTTAAATAACTATTAGAGTGCTTTTTAGAACTAAAAAATAACAAAATATTTCTGCTGGAAATTAGAGCGTCAGAAAAATATAGATAAAAAGAACCCCAGAGTCCCATATGCGTCAAAGGTTAATTGAGCGAAAGATATAATGCGTATTGTACAGAAAAGCTACAGATATTAATTTTTTTGCATGAGAATTAATCAGAGACAGTGCTTTGGTAAGGTTTTCATTAAAACTAGTAAATCTTAAATGTTATTCCATTTCCTGTTTATATTAATATAATTATCATTTTAAGTCTTTCTTTTTTACTTGTTACTTTCCTTACAAATTTATATATTATTCATTCCTATTACTGCTCTCTTTTCATTAAATATTTGAGACCTCTGCTAAAATTAAATTTTCCAAAGTTTTGTTTGAAATAAAAAAAATATTAAGCCTAACAACCTGATTTCTTGTACCTTTGGAACACTATATAATATACTTTGGATTATCTGTTGTTATACTTTGGATAACATTTTAAGGAAATCAGATTGTTAGATTAAAAGTTATTTAGAATATTACGTTCCTTTTTTTTTCATGCTGAACATGCTTTGATGCATGCCAGTTATTTTTTATAAATATTTTCTTAACGTATGAAAATATTTTTTTCATATACAAACTTAACATTATATTCATTTCAATATGCTAAAACAGAGTTTATGATATTATTTGATAGAGAATATTTACTACGAATACACGTTACGTAGATGTTTAATGCTTAATACTCTACTCGCAAAGGGGGTTAAGTTAGTTTTAGAAACTGTTTCGCAAAGTCAATAAAATTCAGTGTAAAGCAAAGTAGAATAGAAAAATATTTTTGGCCTACTTAAGTAGGTTTAAATTACTAAAATAGCATTCGAAATCCAAAACATCCAGCAAATCAGGAAGCTTTGAATACTTAACATCTTTGATTTTCTTGAAATTTTCAGTATATGTTCTTGTGTACAGGATATGAATATGTGTGTATCTTCTTTTTTGTTATTTGTGTGTATTCGTGTTCTTCGTATGTATTTTTATTATTATCTTTCTATTAGACACGTGTGTTTTTATTTTTGTGAATTTTTTGTCCAAGTTTAGGGG